TGCACTTAGCACAAGGAACCTGCTGCAGGCCTGGATGGAGTCCCCAGACCCAGAGACACAGGGTGGCCAGGGGACAAGTTCCCCTGCCCCTGGAGCACCAGCCCCACACCCCGCCCCCTCGCCCCAGCATCATTCCCACCCACAGCACACAGCTAAGGCGTTGAAGTGCGGTTCCAGCCAGGCGTTCACACAGGGCCTGTTGAACCAGCCAGTCTGGCAATGGAGGCCTAAACACAAAGCAAACTTTTTTTTTTTTTTTTTTAAACTGGATTTTGAACCCAGGGACCCTCCTCCCTAAGCTTCATCCCCAGCCTTTCTTTATTTTGAGGTAGGCCTCCCTAAGTTGCTGAGGCTGGCCTCGAAATTGCGATCCTCCTGCCTCAGCCCCAAGTTGCTGGGACTACAGGCATGTGCCACTATGCTCAGCTACAAAGTCACTTTTTAAAAGGAATGTCACATGGAGTGTCCCCCACAGGCATAGAAACTGACGCTTCTCCCTCCTCTCACACCCCTGCCCGCTGTTTGTACATTCCTTACCACGACCCTCTTTCATGGAAGGCACAGCAACTGCCTGGTCTTTAGAACGTAGGAAACCCACAGGCTCTCAGGAAAGGCCAGCTGACGTCACCCACGCTCCAGCAAACAGAAGCAGAAGAGACCCTGACCTCCGAGCGCAGTGGCTCAGAAGAGGTCACCCCTCCCACATGACAGGCTGTCTGACCCTTCCCCAGGACGCAGCAGGCACACGGTGCTTCACGAGTTACTGCGTGGGGGCTGCAGCTGTCCCAGGCGACACCAGCAGGCAGGCCTGTGCCCCGCCCCGCGCGCTGTGTGTGCAGAGGGCCCCCAGGAGGCCCCTGTCATGTTGCACTTTGTTTCATTTGTTTTTTCCAGATGGGGTTCCACCAAGTTGCCCAGGCTGCCCGAAGCTCTTGGGCTCCAGCGATCCTCCCGACTCAGCCTCCCAGGAGCCGGGATGACAGTGCCACCAGGGTGCCTGGCTGTGGGAAGCTCCTTGAAGGCAGGAGAACCCAGAATTCAACAACACCAGCAATGGCACACAAGCCAGGAAATGACAGGAGCAAGTGGTGACATGACTGTGGTTTTATTTTTCCCCAGAGTGGGCTCAGCCCTTCTCTGACAAGCCCTTAACTCTGTAATCAGATAAAAATCATGACAAACTTCAGACAAAACACCCTGGTACCTCTCAGATGTGCCTAGGATGTGGCTGAGGTCGCTGTGCAGGGTGTCTGGGGAGCAGGTGCTGGGGCAGAGGATGGAGCACAGCGAGGTCAGGTCACCCTCCGACAAGTAGAGTTTGACATCTTCCACCAGGAAAAGGACCACCAGGCCCATCCTCAGCCTGCTCCGCACAGGGCAGCTTCCAGGCAGGGCGTCCCCACTCTTCCCTTCCAGAAACGGTCCCATCTGCTTTTTCAAATACTTCCACAGGTGCTTCTTCACCTGACGCAGGGGGAAAGAGGCACAGGCCATGGAGCGCATGCCCTGGGGCCTGGAGAACCCCTGGGCAGGGGACTAAGGCCCTGAGGCAGGCGACCTCGGGGGAGGGTCCCATCTGCCCTACTTCCCCACCTCCCCAGCACCCTGGGGTTCTGGGCAGCAGGCACACAGTGATGCTCAGTCCCCAAACCTGCAGTGAGGGAGAACGGGAGGCCCTGGGTGCTCCTGAGAGCTCAATGTCAAACTCGGAGGGAGCGCCAGCTCTGTCTCCTAGCCTCGGTGTGGCTGGAGGGGCAATGGTGGGCTCCACCCCTTCTTTTTTTTAATATGTAATTTTTAGTTGTAGTTGGACACAATACCTTTATTTTATTTATTAATTTTTATGTGGTGCTGAGGATGGAACCCAGGGCCTTCCACATACTAGGTGAGCGCTCTACCACTGAGCCACAACCCCAGCCCTCCACCCTTTCTTTCAACTCTGCCCAGGCCGGCGAAGAACTCTAGACCAGTCCCCGGAATGAGGCTCCGAGGTGCCATCAGGAGGAAGCACGTGGGGGGAGAATTCCCAGGAGGTGGTGCAGGAAGAAAAGAGACGGAAAGGTCCTCCTGCCCCCCTGCACCTACCCACTCAGTCACAGGGTCTCCTGGCCTCTAGTGGATCAGGGGACCCTGACCACCCACTCCAGAGCTGCTGGGGACCACGCCGAAGCCCGATACCTCTGGCTCTCCGAGGCCCAGGCTAAGCCAGGGCTGTGCTTTCCCCTCGTAAATCATGGGCGCTCGGACAACAGAATAAAACTGCCGGAACTGCGTGAAGAAGTTCTTCAGGTTGATGGGGTTCCAGGTCTGCAGAATGCTGAAGATGCGGCCCAGCATGATCTCGGCCGCCATCTGCTTGCCCTTCACCAGATCCTTCTTCGTCTTATCATTGAAGAAGTTCTGTAATTTCTGTAATTTCCCAGGAGGCTTCATGCAGATTATGTCATCATACTGATGCCAATCTATGAGTAACAGCAAGAAAAATGTCACACGGAAGACCCCAAAACCCACCATTCCTGGGCACCAGTCTAGAGGACAGAAACACAGGGGAGCAGCCAGACACAGTGGCACACGTCTGTAATGCCAGTGGCACAGGAGGCTGAGGCAGGAGGATCACAGGCTGGAGGTGAGCCTCAGTAACTTAGGGAGGCTTCATCTGAAAAACAGAAATATGGGGGACTGGGGTTGTGGCTCAGCAGTAGAACACTTGCCTTGCATGTGCAAGGCCGTGGGTTCGAGTCTCAGCACCACATAAAAATAAATTAATTAAAATAAAGTTATTGTGTCCAACTACAACTACAAAAAATAAATATTAAAAAAAAAAGATGGGCTGGGGATGTGGCTCAAGCGGTAGCGCGCTCGCCTGGCATGCGTGCGGCCCGGGATCGATCCTCAGCACCACATAC